TTAACTACATTGCATTTGTATATGATGAAGCAACTATCTAGAAGTATTTTATAGAAAAAATGTACAAAGTATAACCTTATTTGAAAATGCAGCTAAAGACCACAGATGAAATGGTTCGTTTTTTTTAAATTTAAGAAAAAATTCAATTTCTCAAAAACGGTGACTTTATATAGGTAAGTTTTTGTTATTTGGATGCCAATCCAAAGCCTACCTTCTCCTTAAGTTTGTCGTGGTACTCAATCGATCATATTGACTTTGCTTGTAATGTTCACCTTTATCCAACAAGATAAAACCTGCTAAAATGAGCTCTATATTTTTGAGTACATCAAAGACTATCCAATTCAAAGATTTTAAGGAAGAGCGACTTAAATTCGTGAATACTTGACTTTGTTTTGCTAAAACATTTATATTGTGCTTTTTTGGCTTTAATTTACATCTGTGAATGTCCTGTCAATCGTCTCACCAGCACAAATTGTTGATGGATGCCGATGGCATCACAAATGGATCCATCAGGAATAAAGGAGTGCCGTGTTAAAATCCTGCAATAAAAAAAGAACACTTTTGAGGGGCTCCGATGTCATTGATAGAGTCATCATTGGATAAAAGAAATCACCCATGCAATTTGGCGGCAAATTCTCGATAATCGATCGAAATAAATATATTGAAAAATACCCCATTACTTTTCAGGTTAGCACCTGCATTTTTCAATCCTTCGTACAGCAAAACAAGCATAATACAACAACAATACAGTTAAACTTTCCAAACCTTTACATGCTAGTTGAAGTGTACTAGTTACAAAGATGTTATATACCTTAGTTCTCAGTGATTATTTTACAAAAAAGTTCTTCTTTCAGTTGCAATTCTCTTGCGCAAGCGCCAAAATGCAGCATCAGAAACAAATCCATAGTATGCTCCTCTATTGACGATACTTACCTGTTGGAAGAAGTCAGCGAATTAAACATCACTAACAGCTACATCCCACTGATAGAACCAGTATTCTTCGAAAGACTCCCAAATCTCAACAAAGTCGTTTTGAGAAATGTTCACCTTAGAGGAATAATGCCCGACGCTTTTTCTAATTTAACAGCTTTAAAATATTTGAACCTAGGAAACAACAACTTAGATACGTTCAACATCTCGACAGACATTTGCTTGGAAGTTTTAGATTTGTCTGACAATAATCTCCAAAATCTGTCCGATTCCGACATAGGATGCATTAAGAATCTGAAGTTCCTTGATATTTCGAATAATAATATCAAGTTTTTGCCTTCATCGTTATTGGAGAAGCTCAAAACCGATATAGGCTTTACGCTAGTATCACATGGAAACCCTTGGAATTGTAATTTGAAGGAGTGGGTTACGAGCTTGAATCAGGAATTAACAGACTTGTTTTGCAATAGAAAGCCAACAGGTAACTGCCAAACTGGAATTAAAAGAACAACGTTTGCATTAAAGGAAAAAAGTTCAGATGGGGAAGAACATTGTCCGATACCAACCTGTTTTAAGCAATGCCTGTTTTGGTTTTTTGGAGCAATTTGGATCGGAGTAATTATTGGCAACGTTTGTAAAATAAAGAAGCTGTTGTGCAGTAATATACGACATGAAGACAAAACTACTCAGTATGGTAATGAATGTTATAATACTTTCGGCGGCATCATATAGACTCATTTTGTCCGAACCCTTGTTTGTGTAAAAAATGCAATCTGATAGTACAGTATCAAGTTAGTTAAACAGTATCAAGTTAGTTAAACAGTGGAAAATGAGCATATTAAGTTTAGGTGAAAGTAGAGCGAACTTAACCATATAACTAGGTGCTTCATGATTAAACTGATTACTTCGTGTCTGTATTGCCTATTTCACGAGTATATAATGTGTCCTGCCATAATGGGGAATTTTGAAATCTTACTAGATAACCAGCTGTCATTCTACCGTGATGGATACTCGTGACAGTGTTTGTATTGTGCGCTTTTGTGTTTAATGAATTGTAGATTTCTAACCCCATCTAGTGATCAAGCAAGACTTAAAGCCAGTGGTCGTTCATAAAACTTGAAATTATTATATTATATATTATAAAATATTTTGTTTATGTAAAACGTGTTCATGCAGTATTTATTATAGAATCTTCGATAAGCCTTCCACGTCGGAATGGAGGAATACATCCCTCATACAGTGAAAGTGTCTAAACCAGGGTCACAGCGCAATGGCAGTCAGTCTTTCTGGACGCTGGCCAAGCAGATTGAAAAGAAACTCTCACACAGCAGCCTTCCACCACTTACGTGTCAGGATGAAGCGATTGTATCGGACTCAAAGACCAAGGCGGAAGTCCTTGCCAAGATCTTTGCTGCCAACTCCACCATGGACTTACCCTCCACCGCCCAAGTGTCGTCAATTCAAAGGGTTCCCTATACTATGCGGGAAGTAACATTCAGGTATAAGACCGTTAGACGAGTGCTTTTGTCGCTCAGACGTCAACAAAGCTTCTGGACCGGACTTGATTCCTGCCATTGTACTGTAGAGGTGTGCAGCGGAGCTTGCTCAATTCTTTCGCGTCTCTTCCAGATACCTTATGAATCTGGTACCTTCCCAGAAAACTGGAAATTCACTCATGTCTAACCCATCTCGAAAAAGGGATCTAAGACCGACCCTTACAACTACAGGCTTATAGCTCTGCATTTTGTTATAGGTAAGGTGATTTAGAGGTGCCTAAATTGCGAGCTTCTGGGCTATCTCGAACGTCACAGCTTGATTAGCGACAGGCAGTATGGTTTCCGGCACCAGCGATCCACAGGGGACCTCCTAGCTTACGTCACGCAATTGTGGAGTAAACTCGTCCAGTCTTATAATGAGGCTTATATCGTTGCTCTTGACATCACGAAAGCGTTCGATCAGCTGTGACACGCTGCCTTTTTAAGCAAACTTCCATCCTATGGCCTCCCAGAAAAGTTTTGCAGATAGGTGGCTGACTTTATCTCTGCCGCAAGATATCCGACGTAATTAACGGGTTCTCCTCTTCATCTCACAACGTCAACTGGGGTGAGCCCCAGGGATCGGTCTTGGCTCCGACACTGTTCCTCTTACATATCAACGACCTCCTTTTCTGCACGATCAACCCAAACCACACAGTTTCGCTGATGACAGCACTCTACATGCACGAAATTCAGAGTGACAGCCGATCTCTGCCGCTGAGCTGGAAAATAGAAGACTAGCGACGACTTCCTCTCTGACGAGAGACCTAGAGGCTATCACTGCTTGGGGACGCAACAATCTTGTACAGTTTAATGCTGCCAAAACACAGTACTGTACCTTGACGAACAAAAAGAGTCCTAAAGCTTATCCGGTTTCGATGGATGGTCTGACACGAACTCATCTTGTCAAGAGCGGCAGCTGCTGGGAAAAAGTTGGGCTATTTGTTTAGGGCTCAGAAGTACTATTCTCCACATGACCTTCTCACTCTATGCAAGGCCCAGATAAGGCCTAGCTTCGAGTATTGCTCACACATTTGGGGTGCTGCCACCCCGACTACATTATTTATGCTCGATGCTGACTAGAGGAGGGCTGTCCGACTGATCGATGACTCTTCTATAACAGACAGTCTCGGAACCCTTTCGCACAGGCGGACCGTCGGTGATCTAGCTCTCTTGTACGGCTATACCAACGCGCTTTGCTCCTCAGCGCTCTCTTCCATGATGCCGCCACGCGATGTGCCTGTCAGACTGACCCGCCTATCTTTGACCTCCCATCCTAACCATGTCGTGTTCGTTTTCGCAATCAAAAACATTGTTTTGTGTGGGATATGTCTCGAAGTCCCTCAGAATGTTTTTTTTTTTTGTTACCAGCAATGAAGGTTTTTATGTTTGAATCTTTAATATTATTACACTAGTTAATTAAACATGCCAAGTACTTATTTTGTTATCATATAATAAAATATTGTCTTTCTGAGGATTTCTGAGCATTTTCCATGTTTTTTTTTCAAGCTGACCTTGACCAGATAGAACACAATGGATTTAACTGAGGTTAAAAAATGACCAGCCCTAAATATCTTTTGCGCCCCCCCCCCCTAGACGAAATCCTGAACCCGCCCTTGTTGTATCCAAATAATCGCTTTTGGCAATTAAGGTAGCAGCTTGTTTATTATTTATTTTACAATATTTTTATCGGGTAAAATCTAGCCTAACCTCAGCTTTTTTAACGGAAATACATAAAAGAATGTGTGCCAGTCATACCAGTTCCGCATTTTGCACGACTATTTCGTTTGTTAAATTGTAGCAGAAGACTTGTATGGGATATTTTCAGGTGCGACGAATGCACAAATTGAATACATTGAAGCTGTACTTTGCTCCATAGTCAACTACAGAATAATTCGTTTTTCTGTTTAATTATACAAATATAATGATCCTTTTGTTTTGTCAATGTGCTTCAAATCGTTTATTCTTATGTTTAATGAATGAAACCTTCCGACAGATATGGATATCTTAAGTAGATTTATTGTCTCATCAAGTTGCAACTTTATGATCTCTGTGTGTAAGTTGGCTAATTTTTTTCAAAAAGCTTACTCTAAGCTCTCAGTATTTGAACTTAGGTACTTTAAATCATCATCCAATCCAAATAAGTCACGTACGAGTTTTGTTATAAAATACGCCAACTTCACCACTTTTTTCACCTGATTTGACTATGAAGTGAGTATAGGTATTCTAAGATGAAGCATTATAATAGTGCATGTTAATGTGCGTTTGTCTAATAAATGTTTTCGTATTGTTTTAATTATTATACCTATACCATTGTATTTTGTATTCTCATTTAATGTAATTTGCTTGTCTGCATTGCTCGTAACATTGCGATTGTTTTAGTCAAAGCTTCACATCGCAATTTTGTCTGTACGTTCGCCTGTTTAAAAAAAGCTAAATATTATTTATAATCATTCTCTACAGAAAAGCATGTGTGAGATGCCACTTGCACATTTACACAAATAAAATAAAATAGGCGACGTTTTAATAGTACTACTATATTAGACATGGAGTATATTGTATGTTATAATGCATTTTAGATGTAGCTGACCTCATAATGAAGAAAATTTGAAAACGATTGTAGTGGTTTTCAATGTTAGTCACCCAGGTCGAGCTCAAGGTCAAAGTCCGTTTACTTCAAACCGAAGATATTAAAGATACGATTAAATATGTTTGTTGTATTCATAAATATATAAACAATAAATTTGCAAAATAATGTAGATGTATATTTCTTCATATTCAGAAATCTTTTTCACCGTATCTATTGATATATCCTCGGTGTATGGCTTCCTTTAAATTATTTCAGGCAACCAGTTCACCAGTTGAACAGCTGGGTGCATGATGACATAGCAGCTAGTGTTGTCAAATACGGTTACTCTTCGATAATCATGGTTACCGATTACTTTAACAAAAGTGCCGGTACTTCGTACCGATTACTGATGACTGGCATCACAAGTGGCGACGGTCTTATGGGGGTCCCGCACGATGCTTCTAACGTTGTCAACTTTGCTTACAACAATTGGCAAGTGTGTCTCCTACACGATAGCTTGAACTTTTTAGTCTCGGACGTTCGACTCATGGTGGTGCCAACGTCTATTATCGGTGTCAGTATTGCGGTTGAACCTGTCTAAAGCGATCAAAACTTAAGTCTGTCATAACCCTCAGAAATGTCGAAAAACTATGTTTGACCGTTTTTTGTTTGTTTTTCGACGATAACTCCACCGCCACTGTACCGATTTTCAAAAACTGCAGAGCTTTTTCGTCATTTTCATGGTAGTGGCCTAGGACCAAAATTTCAGCTAAATCCTGATAGTACTTTCAGAATTATCATTTATTTAATCGTTTTCGTTAATTATGAAACGAAAGTCAATATATCTCTCAACTAGTCTTGCAATAGAACATTATAATGAAACAACTTTAAGCACTTGATAATTTACAATTTACTACAATACATTTCCTTAGGCCAGCCATAACTCACCTGCGAAACATACAGAATATTATCAATATGAAAAAAATGTTGTTATGGCAGCCTATGCTTTGTATGTAAACTAATTTAATACATTCTCCTCAAAAGCTAGTTACGGAACATGCATTATTATGAATAGGTAGGTAATCAAATCAAAATACTTCACCACACTCACAGCAAACAAGTAAATAATGTTTTTAGCCGCTACTGGTTCTAACCTAAGGCCATCAAACACATGACATCTCGTGTGGGAGCGTAGGACTTTAGAACGTTGGAAGCATGTTCCTTTGACGCGGGTTAAATTTACCGAGAAGCGCTCGAGCGTGCTATGTGACGAACGTTGGACACATGCAATCCGTCAGCGCTCTCCCACAGATGTGGCGAATGGACATGTGTCCAACGTTGTAAGGCATTCGCCACATCGTGTGTGAGAGCGGTTTTATACGTGCCTATTTATATGCGTGCATCCTCTGTTAACGATTAGCACAAAATACTAACTTAGAATGCGACTATTCTCGGTGGGAATTTAACCAACACACGCAGTTCTAGGTCGTAGAAATTTGAATTTCAATATTCAATTTTTATGCAGTAGTTATGTCCTTATTTTAGCTTAGATACTTATGTATTTTTGTTGTTGTTTTGAACCCTGTTTCTTAATAACATGCCTTCTGGTAATTAAAAATGTGTTATTTTATTCTATTATTATCATACTTACCAATATATTAAGATTTTTTTCAGAGGGTAGTTCAAAGGATACGGGCAACAACTTACTTTTATTATTTTGCAAGCTAGCTTTACAACCATTTACTACAAAATATATCCTTACATTTGACACAATTTCTAATTATAAGGTATTTCCTAGCATTAAACATATTTTTTGTCAGATTGGAGCGACGGAGAAGAAAACGAAAAACTAGTTATTTGAATAATAAATTATTCATCAACATAATTATTTATCTGCACAATCCGTTTATGAAACAAATCATTTTCAACAGTCAGTGTTGTAATAAGAATATAAATATATATTTATCCTGCAAGCATCGAACGCGTAAAACGTAGGTAGGTAAGTATATTTTTTAATAAAAAAGACTTGATAGTTTCGCAGTAAATAAACATTTAATTAGATATAATATGATAATAATTGTTTTTATGGAATAATGTCTGTAAACTACTTGAATAAACAGAAAATACTAAAATTATAGGACTTATGTTCAAATAACGTGTGTTTTGCTCATTACTGCCGGCTATTCTGCCGTAATTAGCTCCATGTCCCTCTCTCTCTCTGGCCTCTCTCTCTAATGCTGGCGTCATTCCGTCATTTTAAACCCCGACCACAAGTGTAAGTATCACCACGGTCTTGCTTATGCAAACACGTAGCGTGTGGACGGTAAAACGGAAGCTTGCGCAAACCAACAAGTGCGGCTTGTGTGAACGTCGCTCTGCTGAAATTTTTACTTGCGCAAACTTGTTTATGCAGTGGAACTTTTACGTGTGGATGGCATGCAGGTAAAATGGCAGACTTGCGTACTTGATCTAAACAATTTAGTTCGTTAATTAGATTGACATGCGAATGTATATTTCTTTTTAGAAGCCACTTTTTGCTCCAGTTTTACCTATATTTCTTTTCTTCATCTTCTTCAGTAAAAGACAGCATAAAAATGTATTCAAAACAAACAATTCATCATTTGGCATCATTGTTCCAAAATAATTGACCTGTACCGATCTCTCAGATTATTTTAACTTCGATGAGGTTTATGCAAACTTGCTTGCATCGTGTTGCCACCCTGTGGTGTTCCGTCCTTATCGCGCAAACTAGACCGTACAAGTAAGTCGCTGTTGTGTGGCCGGGCCTTTAGACTCATGAGAATACTTGTGGCGAATACTGCACGTACGGTACTGCACGGTGGCCAGTAGTCCAGTTCCAGTCCAGTATGTTCTATGTTGTGTCAGTGGTATAATCACGCATCCTGAACGAGGTGCAGGTGATTTATTTGTTGTGCTTATCAACTGTGTTATCAACAAACTATTTTGTACCGCCAGGTAAAATCTAAAGTTCAAAGTTTTGTGGTTCAAAGTGCAAGCACAGAGTACTATAATATTCGGTACAAGTACTCTATATTCATTATTTTTGGTAAAATTAAGATGCTGGCACAATCAATAAAAACAGCTGCAGCTGCAACTGCATCTAGTAAGCTATAATATTTAGGTAAAGACTTTCTGATTATCATACTTTCTTTTCTAGGTACTAATTTATTTCTGAGGATGTCTTCAGGTTCAGCATATAAAACTCTGTCAATAAGTGTGCCAAAGGAATTTGTCTATCATGTGAAGTTGAACAGACCTGACAAGTACAATGCAATCAATAAACCCATGTGGTTGTAAGTAGCAATATTATATATCTCTAAACTTGATCTGTTGGGGATCTTTAGCAAAATGTTTTGGTAGCTCCAATGAATTGGGGGCTAGGTTCCCAATATTAGTGCGTTGAGCAGCTAGCACATTAGATATGAGGCTAGCAAGTTCGCATCCCAGCTTGGAAGTTGCATTAGTAATAAGTCACCAATAGATAAGCAGAAGCTTCAAAGATGGCCTAGTTGCACGAGTTCACGTCCCCACCACCACCTGTGCCTTTACTACCACTGCGCAGTGATTCCACCATATGCCAAAAATCCCAAAAACTCATGAGTTTATAAGGGTCTAGATGAGTCCCTAAGTTAAGTATGAATAGCAATACAATTAGTTTATTAGTCTAATTATGTGTAAGTCATTGCAACTTTTTGTGGATTATAATTTCAACCCTAGTGTTATCTCGTAGTGATATGAAGTTGCAAGAATAAGGCATGTAATCTTACTATTTTATGTACAAACTTGCATTTTGTAGTTGTATATGTAAATTTTGTATTGAAAGTTGTTTTTGCTAGATTTTTTTTTCCTACAAAATCAATTCACTTCGAGTTAACAAACTTTTGGCTGCACCTTGCTGCAGATAAGATAAATGTTATCTTAAAGTAGAGAATGTCTAGATTAGGGGCATATAGGTTTCATCTGCATCTTACTGCCCCTTCTTAGGTTTGTGAGGTGCCAAACCATGTTTCATAGTACAGAAAAAAGGTGTTTTCCAAATCCAATTTTGTTGTTGTTTTAGGTATTTTTTTTAAAGTATTCTGTTTCAAGGAGGACTATTTTTAATATTTGGCACTCTAAGGAGGGTAGTGGTTTACAAAAGTGACCTGTTAAAAAATACATATTGTCAAAATCTGTGTTGGATTTGCTAAGTTGATTGTTTCCATTATAGTGTATTATAAGTTAAGAGTTTATAATTTTTTTCCAGTATATCTTGTTTGCTCTTATTATGAAATGTTTCATTTCTTGACTATAAATTTGATCTAAGACTGTATCTAATACAAAAATAATGAAAAACTAAGTACCTACATAGTATTTTTTTTTCTAAAAAAGAATTTTATAAATTGTAATTTCATGTGTGTACAACTGTATTTTAAGGTTTAAATTACACTAAAAAAGGTTAAATCTATGTTATGTATTTATGACCACCCTAGTATGGAAGGGGAATCACTGTGCACTAGCTCTATTGAGACATAGAGGCCTAAAACCATTAATGACCAAAAGAATGATGTTTCTTTCATTCTGGGGTTCTTGACTGTGCATATGAGGCCCCCTAAACAGATGATGATGAAGTTCACAGAAAGTCTGGGTGATAACTAATAAAAGCAAAGAAACACATTTGTACTAAGGCTCTTGTACGGGGTCCTGGGGCACTTATCCTATGATAGCTATGGTTCCATATGTGCATTATAGACTTACACGGTTTAGAAAAATGATACATGCATATACCTACTTGTTAGATTATACCTAATTTTAACATTTTCAGTGAAATAAAAAGATGTTTTGAAGAACTGAGTGATGATGAAAACTGCCGCAGTATAGTTTTATCTGGAGAAGGAAAAGTATTCACAGCAGGTAATGAATATAACTTATTGACCAAATGCTTTGGAATCTTTTTTCTAGATAGAATATTCATGCTATACCAAATGGCACCAATATGTCATCATTATTCTTCTGCTAAATTCATATTGTTCTTAGGTATTGACATCTCAGCTCTGATGGAAATGGCTTCACTCATATCAGGAGAAAATGATGTTGCCAGAAAAGCAAAAAATCTATTAAATGTCATAAGGTCCTTCCAAGACTGCTTGTCAGCATTGGAACTATGCAAGAAACCAGTTTTAGCAGCTGTTCACTCTCTTTGTATAGGTGCTGGAGTTGATCTCATATCTGCTGCTGACATTCGGTACTGCTCAAAAGATGCTGTCTTTCAAGTAAAAGAGGTGAGTTTAAGGTCTTATAATTATGCCAAGGTAAAATGCTTAAAAATGATCATTTCGTAGTTATTGCAACAAAAATGTTGTTGTTAAAATAATGATTTATTTATTCATATTTTAGGTTGATGTTGGTTTGGCCGCAGATGTAGGAACATTGCAGAGGCTACCTAAAATCATTCATTCTGAGAGTTTAGCAAGGGAGTTGTGCTACACTGCTCGAAAAATGCTTGCAGATGAAGCACTCAGCTGTGGATTGGTATCCAGAGTATTTGGGAGCAAAGATGAGTAAGCAAATCTGTTTTTAGTGGAACCTTTCCATATACATTTTTTTATATTCTTCTCTTTTAACTTGAGAAAAAAGTAATTACACGTCAAAACACTTGGTACGCCATGATGAGCAAAAAATAATGGCTCCATGGCAATTTTATGTTCAAATATCTTGGTTAAAATGACATGCGAGTTGATCTATGCATATCGTTGAATAGAATGATTGATGACGTGATCAAAGTAGCAGAAACCATAGCTAAGAAAAGCCCAGTAGCAGTTCAAGGCACCAAAAGGAGCATGGTATTCTCTAGAGATCATTCAGTTCAAGAAGGACTGGAACATATAGTAAGTATACATTAAATTTTCACTACTTTATTTTTTACACTATGTGAAGTGGGTAGTTTTCCTTCAAAATTCAGACTAAGTGGTTAAAGCTTCAATAATAATTCATCTTCCAAAGAATCATCATTGATATAGACAATAAATGATGAAGCTGTCCCTATATCTGGCATTCTAGTAGCATTGCCTAACCATGGAAGCAAACATCTTGTGCTTATTTTTAATTTCGTGTGAAGTTCTCATCATTTTTAACAGGTTTTTTGCTGTGACGCTATTGTTGGATTAGACTCTTCCACCTAGAAAAGTAAAAGTTATTTGGGAATATCTTAATACTATACATTATTATATTGTCTTTTATGCATCTATTTTATTGTTCGGAGGTGCAGAGTTGTATAAATGATAAGAATCATTTTCTAAAAGCTTATTTCTTGATGGAAGAATTATATGGAAATTTCTGGAGTTCAAGAATCAATAACAATCATAGCATTCTCTATTTACTTGTTAAGTTTTTATACTTATGTGTTTTGGCTTGAATTTTGAACATATACTTTCATTGCAATTTCGTTATTTTTAGGCTATGTGGAATCAAATCATGCTACAGAGTGAAGATTTAGTAAAAGCAGCTTCCTCAGCAATGAGCGAAGATAAAGATATTGTATTTTCTAAGCTGTGATAACTCTTGACTTGCCTTTTATTATCCACTATATAGGGAGTGTTATATTAAAACTTTGTAAAATTAAATACCAGAGGCAGTATATGTTAGATTTTCATCTGCAAAACTGTAATAGTAGCATAACTAGCAAATCTGTATTTCAAAAGGGAGTATTTGAATTTAATAAATTGAATGATGATATTAGTGTTCGAATTTAAAAATGTTTAAGGTCA